TGCTTTCCATAGTTTGTGTTTGGGGACCTTTTGTTTTTTTCTTCTGAAGTTTGTAATATATACTAGATGGACATTAAGATCTTCTTTCTTTCAATTAGTATTTGGGGACCTTCTTTCTTTCTATTTGGGGACTTTCTCTAGTTTGTATTTTGGGACCTTGTTATTTTCTGTATTTGTATATGTGGATCTTTTTTCTTTGCATAGTCTGTACTTACACTGAGTGGCCAGATTATTATGACCACCTGACATTTGTAGGCAAATTAGCTATAATTAGCTAAAATTTTGTGCTGAAATTGCTAGGGAATAGGGAAGCAGGTTGTTTACAACAACAGTAGAAGTGATTTATTTCTGAAGATACGGGTAAACAATGCAATTTAACAGCCTTTGAACGTGGGATGATTGTTGGCGCTCGGAGCCATGGAGCGAGTATCAGCAAAACAGCAGACATCGTTAAATGTTCAAGAGCAGCTGTTGTTAAAGTGTTTAAAGACTGGACTGTCAGCCGAAAATCTGGGTCTGAACGTGCGATTTGTGGCCGTCAGCGACTAGTCAATGTTAGGGCAGAACGGAGAGTGGCAAGACTGGTAAAATATCTTTTATTCACACTCAAACATGTCTTAGATAGTGTTTGAGTGTAAGTTGGCCTTTGATCATTTTTGTATTTACTACTGACAAAAAGTCTGCCAAAAATGTACATATTTATTAATGTAAACTGAGAGAAGACAATTGGGAGTGTTCACTCTGGAAAAGAGTGGGAAATAAGGCAAATTCAAGCAAGCATGTTTAAAGCTGACAGCCATTCCACTATTATATATAATTCCTGATGCCATGTCAAGTGTAAACAATATAAAATCAATTGTTTACAATCTAATGAATTTTCTATAGTCATACATATATACCCGCATCTCGAAGGACAATTTAGTCAGAATCCAGGGCAGTAATGTTGCATGTTTACCACCTTTCACATTGGAATAAAAGAAAAGACACTCAGAAAAACATGGCATGTCCCAAAAAAAGACCATCAGGATGTATGCAATATGTGTGAGGATCAGCAGAAAATGTTGGTCAGGGTTAGGTTGTTAGACACTCCTACTTCTCTGACTACGGATAAAAGAAAAAACAGGGGACAAGATTACAGGATCATGACTAATTTCTTCAAGTGATATTAAAGTCAAAATGTTTTAAGCCATTTCAAATGCTGATTAGATTACTTGCAATGGATCCTGCTTCTTGATGTTTAAAAGCTTTAGCTTCCTACAGAATCACTGGCCCTGATATTCTGTTTTAGGGTGGCTCCTGTTCCTTGCAGGGTCCTATCGAGCCACCCTTGTGTGGGCTAGTAAGCTGTGTGTCATTACAAACACAGCAAGGAAAGCCATTCCCCTGCGCCCTACTCCCCCTTTTCCCTTCTCCAGGCTAGTAGATGGACGGCTTCTGGAGACTGTACTTTCCCTTGTGATCTGGTACTGGACAGGAAGTTCAAAGAAGCTCAGCTGAGAGTGTTGGAGTCAGCTATTTGGAAACATGATGACTGTAAGTGCTTGTGCAAAAATGTAAAGTAGTAATTTGCTGGGAATGTATATTTGTTTGATCTGGATTCAATATTGAAAAATAGTTATAGAGTTTAATACTACTTTAGAAGAGGTAGCCAATGGTTGAGTACTTGTTAGGAGATCAGCTAGAGCCAAGATCAGAACCTGAATATCAAGCAGAGACCAGACAAAATGACAAACTCGGGTTCAGAAAGATGACCTGGCCCCCATGTATGGGTGACAAAAATGGCTCACTGCTTTGCTCAAAAGTCGTCACAGAGCTTAAAGCCAAATAACAGTCATTCTCTGCTTTTATTTTCATGCACTCATTATCTCACCTTTAATGAGATACTCTAATAAATTTACACACCCATAAAATAAGCTGAAGCATAAATTTTCCTATGCAATACTAAGACTGGTCATATAATAGAAGCAAGGATTTTATTATATCTGTAAATAATAAATCAAGGCAACTGGACTTGCTGTATTTTTCTTGAAGACGTTTCACTAGTCATCCGACCAACTTTCTCAATTCAAAATGACTTCTACCAAAAATTCTCTGGGAATACATATGGTGAATGTTGCTCCAATCCACATGATCTGTTAGTCACAACCAGGTGTTGATTTAATTTGCATATTTGGAGTAATTCAAGCTTGGCTTCTCCATTTTTACATAAATTGCCTCTTTCACACCTCTTTTTAACCAGTCCTCCTCCATGTCTAGGATGTGTATTTGACCGTCTTCAAAGAAGTGGCCTTTTTCCTTCAGATGTAGGTACACTGCTGAATCCTGACCAGATGGTTTGGCTCTTCTATGCTGTGCCATACGCTGGTGTAGCTGCTGTTTTGTTTCACAGACATACAATTCTGAGCACTCCTCACTGCACTGAACTGCATACACAATGTTGTTTGTAACAGAAGCCATATATATATATATAGATATAGATAGATATAGATATAGATATAGATATATATATATATCTATATCTATATATATAGTTTGGTTTTTTAATTAACAAAATGGGAGTTATATTTTAACTCTGCTATTATACTTTTAATCTGCAACATAACAATAGCTCTATAAATGAAAAATCACAACATTATAAATGTTTATTAGTCCTGTACAGTTATCACTAGCATTATGCCTTGGCATGCAATTATCGATCATTGTTGTGTACATGAATAGCTTCCCTCTTCTATCACTTAGATTAAAAGCAATTTCTATCCTCTTATCAATACTTCTGCTTTTTGTCAATTTCCTTCCTTTTTTCATTTGTAAACTACACTGACCTTTAGCTTTCTGTAAGTAAGCATTAGAAAAGAATACAAAGTAATTCATCATTCTCTCTTTTTTGTTTTTACATCACATGCTAACACATGTCATTTACCTAAGTAGAACCAAACTTGCTTTTGCATAAAATACTATCAGGCATACTTTTTAATGACAGAAGAGACCATATATGTCGTAGATGTTTCTCCCTGCCTAGCAGCACATTTTTTCTATAAGTGTACACTGAGCCGCTCATGCACAGCTCAGTGTACAGTTTCGGCATGATTTTATGCCAGGGTTATGTAAGTCCTGCAGTGACATCTTCTGGGCCCAGCCAATCAAGAGGCTGAAGACTCTGAACCTGAAAGAAGACCAGGAGAAGATAGCAGCACAGATGACGGAGGGCAGTACTGGTAAGGATCTCCTTGCTAGGCAAGTCTGTCCTAATGATCGAATACGCTATGCATACTTGCAAATTATTGCAAAAAGCTCCTGAGGCCCCCAAACTTTGCATGTGTTCTGGTGGTTTAGTTACACGTTAACACAAAACTGAAAACAAAATAAAGTTTAGGCTTCAAGGGTAAGCCAGATTGTTGACTACCTATTAACCCCTTTCCTTCTGCCCTGTACCAATTCTAATAGCTGTCTAACATTTACAGCGTACATAATGCTGCAGTCAAAGAGCAAAATCTGTGTTTGGGCAGAATCTGTGTTCGGGCAGAGCCACACGTTGACTGACCCTGCCTGAATCCCCTTTGACACTGTCCATGTGCCCCTCCTCTACGGCTGTGCTCTTTTGTTGGCAGCTGAACAAAGCTTGTTAAGTAAATGTTAGACAGCTGTGACCATCAGAATAGATGATAGAGCAGCAAGGTGGGGATTTTAAAATAGATCATCTTTATAATATAATTAAGGCATGGACCAACCCTTAGCATAAAAATAAGAAACACACAATAAACTCAATTATTCCCATCAGAAGTGGCACCATCTTGAGATCCCAGCGATGAGCATCTGCTTTAGCTTGGGGTTAAAAAAAACTATATATTCACTGTAGTACAGCAGATGCTGGTGAGTACTCATCAACCGCTCTTGAAAAGGCTGATGATTTTGTATTTCTGATAGAGTCACTTTGGGTTCAGTAACACTGTTAGCATACCGTACTTAATCACATGCATGTGATAAAAGAGGACAAAACATATCAGGTATATCATGTTTATGTATTGGATAATCAGATATTTTAAATAAGGTGGTGTAAAAAGCACAATGACCCCATGGTAGTCAATAAGATTTCTGCTTTCTGCATTCAGTTGTACTACTGTCCAAGTTTGGCTACAACCACTGGCATATGGCTCATCCTGGTCTGGAATGATGCCCCCCATGTGTCCCTTAGGTGAATAAAAATCCCATTGTGCCATTCATAAAATAAGGTGGATTTCAAGGGTGAAATTAGCTATAAATGGCTTCTTTCAACTATCCGTGATCTGTTCTTGGGTCAAAACATGGCTACTTATTAGCCTACATATTTAAAAAAAAAATCGAAAAAGAAAAAACCCCCCCCCCCAAAAAAAAAGTACTTACATAATCAATTAAACAGGAGAGAAAAATGCACAAATACAAATAACACCCCACCCAAAAAAAATCCCACACTCTCTGCTCCAGTGAGCGAAATGTCCCTCACTGTCCTCATGCCCAATACAGTGTATAGGACACGATGACTCAGTGGACCTTAGACTGCCGGATCAGAGGAGGAGACAGACTGAAGGGAGCGGTCTAGGAGCCAGTGCCCAGCCTCAGGAGAGTATAACTTGTTATTTCAGCTTCCTAGACAAAGCGATCACTTAACTCTCGCAGTGGAGTTCTTTAGCTGACTGAGGCTGTTAATTTTGCAGTAAAATCCACTTGTATTACTGCCCCGGTGACAGTTCTTCACCAAGCAGAACCTTCAAGCTTCAAGCACTGCCAGCATAGAAAGTGGATGCGTTTTCCTGCCTTTAGATAAACATTTCTACCTACAAATTATGAGCATGTCATCGGAAAGGCTAGGATTAATAAGCCATTGTATTTAGCAAGTCTGTGGTTCAACAGCATGCATTTATATCAGATCTATAAATTACATTTTATAAATAGACTGACAATGTCAATGACCAGTTCAAAACACACTTTACTTATGGTTTAATACAATTTAAGGAAGCACTTACCTTGTTAGAGAAGTCTTTTGAAAGATGAGCTCTTTAAAAAGAGCGTGATGTTGGCATTGCCATGCACATCATCCCACAAAGGGCGCAAATGTTTCCTAGGGGAAAAAAGCGTTTTATTAAAAATATGAAAAAAATTGTATTATTTTCAAAAGTTTTATAATTATTTACAAAATGAATTATACTACTTTCCTGGCAGTATCAATTTCTTTATGGGTAAAGGTAAAATTATATTGTGAAAGCAAAATGCACAAATCAATGTACATTTTAACATTACTGAATACAAAGAATTGACCAAATAAAAAATAGAGCACAAATCAATGAACCTTCAGTAGTCTATTCCACAGACACTCAGTGGCTGCAGGTAATTTCAGAGAAAAGGAAAATACGTTTATCATGTCCCAAGATCAGGAAAACAAAGCATACATCTTTCATTAGTAATCATCTTTATATACTTTTCTGAATACGCTGATTTTATAGGCCAGAGCATAGGAATAATCAGCTTTATTAATACCATTAACCACCCTTTGGGGGTGATTTACTAACCTAAACACACACACACACCAGGTGTGTGTGATTTTCACACAGCAAAACGTATTTATCAACCAAAAAGTCTCTAAAAGCATATTTCCATTAATGCCATATATGGAAAAATCATGCACATGATGCATATATAATGCTGCTTCACAGTTTAGACAAAAATGGTTAGCTCATGCATTTACATTCCTGCATTCATCAACGCAAGCAACATAACATAGAGCTAATTTACACCACATTACCTTGCAATTCATTGCAGGGCTTTGCACAACACACCTGCTGGGTGTGTACACACTACAAAGGTGTTTCGATTCCTCCCATAGATCATGCTGGGAGGGAACACACTACAGAGGTGTATACACGTTCGTGGTGTGTTTAAAAGGTTAGTAAATCAACCCCTTTATGTTTAGTTATGTTTATAAAGAGACTTGAAGATGAGAATATTCATATTTTGTTTGTTGTCATGCAATCATTGTAGAAACAATGCAAAACTGTATGTATGTGGACATTTAATATTTTAAGAAAATATGCTTTATCACACAGACTGAAGCTACAGGTTTGCTTTAGAGCATAGGTAAACATTCAACACTTCTCTCATATATAGTTGGCATTTATCTGGTTAATTCCAGGTTTCTGGCATTGATTGTACCTACCTGGGTGGGGTGTGATTCTACTGTAGTGTGGGACAACCAATGAGGGGCACTGTGAGTGTACAAACAGTTCACCAGCCAATCACCTGGTTTCTCTCAAACAGTTGTATGCTGGGATAGGGTACATATACTGGAGAGAATTGCCATGTGCTCAGTCTTGTTTTGTGCCAGCCATGGATTAGTCCAGGGCAGGATGCTGTCCAGCCACCCCCCAGGCTAGGCCTGGGGGTGAGGATGCTGGAGTTCAGGAAGTGTTTCACTGGGCCTCAAGTATGGAGGAGGTCTGTGCTATTGCTAGAGGAGGAGACCCAGGAAGGCTGATGGCTGCTGAAGGTATCTGGAACATAGTGGACCTCAGGGACAAGTCTGGTGTCTCTTCTGTTATGGAGAGGGAGGATATGATCTATGGTGCTGTTGGAACTCTGTTGTAAGCTGTGCCCCTGAGTGTTGGAACTCAGGTGATAACTGTGTATTTTTGTATTATTGCACTGTTGTTTATATGAAAAATCTAATAAAAAAAATTAAAAAAAAGAGGGTTAAATGCTAATGGGGCAGCTGAAGACCAAAACCCCTAGACAACTAGTGATGACCTGGGTTATTCTGGCGGCTCCTTCAGGCTGAGCGCTACAAGTATAATGTTTGTGTTTCTGCATGGAACATTGTACACTCCATAGCCATCGCGAATCGAATGGTATATAAAGCAATATTCTGTTTTATTGCAATCTCGCTGACAGAAGATTCCTTTGTATTGTATTTTTTAAACCTAAATAAAGAGTGGAAAAAAACATTTTTTCTAGCAGAGTGAAACAATTTCTGTCAGATTTTCATTACTGTCCGGTTTCCCCTCATTTCCAGTTCAGAGGGTATGGGGGTGATTTACTAACCTAAACACACTCACGCACCAGGTGCGTGTGATTTTCACACAGCAAAATGTATTTATCAACCAAAAAGTCTCTAAAAGCATATTTCCACTAATGCCATATATGGAAAAATCATGCACATGATGCATATATAATGCTGCTTCACAGTTTAGACAAAAATGGTTAGCTCATGCATTTACATTCCTGCATTCATCAACGCAAGCAACACAACATAAAGCTAATTTACACAACATCACCCTGCAATTCATGCAGGGCTTTGCACAACACACCTGCTGGGTGTGTACACACTACAAAGGTGTTTAGATTCCACCCATAGATCATGCTGGGAGGGAACACACTACAGAGGTGTATACATGTACGTGGTGTGTTTATAAGGTTAGTAAATCAACCCCTATGTGTCAGAATAAAATAATGGGAAATCTCATCACCGGGGACAAAAACAGAGGTTGTAACTTATCTCTACTCTACAAAAAACAAAATCCCTTCATTATATTGTGTTGTCTGTGTGTGTTTCATGTTTAGAAGATTTACTTCTGAGATGTCATGAAGGACAAAAAATGAAAAAAAAAAAAACAATTTTATGTAAAAAAAAAACATGGCATGGTTTACATCTACTTTTAAAGTGACACTGCTTCAAACTCACTCCTGTGATGGACTTCAAGCTCATGTTTAGTTTACTCATTTATATTGAGATTGTAGTCTATAACGGGAGCGACCTTGGAGCAGTGGCTACTTTACAACACACACAGGGACCATGGTAAACAAAAGTAGCTACCCTTTCAGAAGAATGGACAGTGTCAGCACCAATTCAGAGATGATTTGAGCATCTACAGCTACAGTGATACACAACTAAGATACATTTTTGTTAATAGGGTACTTGCATGCTTTTTTAAGATTCAACTCCGGAGTTTACTGTCACTTTAGGCATTGCACAGCAAGTGTATTCCGCTGCAGAAATGAAGTGTCTGGGTTTTTTAATGATATGAATCTGTTTACATTTCTCTTAACGGCTTCGTGAGTAAGCGTGGCCAAACTAAATATTTAACTAATGTTTATAGGTTGCACTTAGCAATTTTCCTTGAAATATATACCTCCTACATGGAAGCTTAAACTATAGATACAGTAACCTATGGTGTATGTCATACAAATAATTTTTGGGTTGATTTACTGAAGAGGCATACATTATACTGCATCTAAACGAACCTACGTTCTCTATAAACATCTTGTCAGGTTAGGCAACATTTAAACTTTCCTCAAAGTAAACCTAACACATATGATGCAAGATCACAGCCTTGTGATGCAGACAGAAACCATGAAAACATTGTTTTCTTTAAAGTGTGAGGAAGCCCCAAATCTCTTTTGTTTAATATGTTTGGCATCATGTCTTACTGTATACAGTTTTTTATAAGCATTTTTTTGTGAATCTGTTGCAAAGTTTTATATTTGGAGATCGTTCCAATAAAAACATTTTCTGTTGCACAGTGACAATGCTAAGTTGCTACCTTGTAACTAGCAGTAGCATTCATAGCCTGCCATGTGAGCTCTTCAGTAGGACTATCAGGTTGATAGGAAGCCAACTGAAGTAACTCACATAGCAGGTTGCAATGTCATTGTTAATTGAGAGGCAGTTGCTTAGTGTGATCAGCCTGAAAGAAAAAGTGCTGTTAGTGGCAGCATCTCCAGATAAGACATTTTGTAAAAGATTCCCCAAATAGTTTTTGCTTAAGAAAACTGTATACTGTATATGTTTGGCAGGATGCCAAACATACTGAGAATTAGATCTAAGGTTTTACATACACTTCACATGAGTTTCTTCTATTGCAGAGTAGGTTGAATGAGCAAGCCTTCTATTTAAACCTCTGACACTATAGACCTGATCAGGATATCAAGAAAAATACCCACAATTAAAATGAAGTGCAAAACCCAAACAACAACTTGGCAAAAACATGCCGCTTCAGCAGAGATGGATTTTGGTCAAATTGGGTCCAAGCAAAGTGGCAGCTTTGGCTGTCCCCGTCAGTTTGATTGGCTTTTTCACTGGAATTAACAATTCCATAGGTTTGCAACAAGTACAAAGAGGCCACCCCATTTGTGTTGTCTATACTGGCAGAGGCCACCCCATTTGTGTTGACTATACTGGCAGATCCTCATCAAACACCAACTGCCTACAATATCCTCCTCCCTTGTGAAGTGACAGGCAGATGACCAGCTTTTACCAAGCATGATATCTAATTGTGTTCGTCTACTACAAGAGCATTAAGGTTGTAGCTGGGCCCCCTGGACATTTACCAGATCCAATGCTTCTGATAAATATAAAGAGTTACAAATCATAAATTGTCTCATATAATAAATATATCAATTCTGGTCACAAAAATTAGACAAATCCCAGATGCAGATCCTGGCATATTCATATTTTACTGATATCTAAATAACATTAATAACTCAAAGAACCATTTTTACTGACTTCATTGTCTTTGACCTTGTGAAAGGAAAGCAACTGTGTATAAAATATTCTCTCCCGGTAGTTAGTAATACATAATACATATATTCAGTTCTGAGAAGCTTCTCATTTCTTATTTATACAATCAGTGTGTTCTTTTGGTTTAATCTGACTTTAATTTGAATTGACAGCCTGTGTTTTAAGCCAAAACTCCAGCCAAATGTGTTTCTTGTCATTTTAGCTGGTGTGGAGGTTTCTATTGCTGCCTGTGTCCCTGTTGAAGAAGTTTATCTTCCTGTACCAAAGACAGGGTTTCACAGGAAGAGGAAGTGATGAGAAATCTCTCTAATAAGATCAGAGACAACAAAAAAACACTATAGTAATGTAGTAGGAAAGGATTAAATAGCATTAATGATGTAGGAATTGAAGCTCCACACCAAATAAAACAGTCCAGATACACCCATTAGGGTCGGGGGGACATTTAGGTAGAGTATCCAACGCTTTTCAGGGGTCTAAAACACATCTTCATGAGGGTTTAATGAGAGAAATCATGTATGTGGACTACAATGCGAAAGCCAGCTCTTTA